TTTGAAGGGGGCATACCTCCTCCCCGAGCCAGGGACAGGGGTAGAGAGTGCCTGTCCCTCCGTGGTGGCTTTAGAAGGATTCTGTGGCTCACAGCAGCGTGGGTAGAAAAGACTGGAAGACCAGGCCCCCCTCAATGCACAGCTCACCCCATGCTGAGGCCAGAAAGATCTTCCTTTCCCCCACTCTCCTCAGAAGGATCTGTGGCTGCTTCCTCCTTGGAAAGAGTCCCCTCTCCTCCCCCAGCCTCAGTCTCCTTGACTTTTGCCCAGACCAAGGAGGGACCTATTCAAAGTCCAGAGAAAGCCCCAGGGTCATAGCTCCCCTCCCACCCTCCCTCCCCCTGTGCCCATGTCACCTTTTCAATTCTACAGCTGCCCAAGTGCCCTTCAGGTATACCAGCATTACGCTCCGTAGAGAGCAGGATGGGAGATACTTGCTTGGCTGAGTCTATTCATTGGGGATTTCCACCGAGGGCCCTTTCTATCTTCACCAGTGACTGAGCGTGCACCCAGCTGCCAGAGAGTGTGGGTGCCAGCGGGCTCTGCTGGGTTTGCCACTGGGGAAACTGCAGGGAGGGAGGAGAGAGTGGCCGCTGGAGGACTGGGCACCATGGTCTAGCTCCTGCCTCTTTTGACCTTTCCCACAAAGGTCTTCCCATTGGGCAGGTGCCCCACACCCAAGGTCCTCAGGATCCCTGGGGCGGGGTGATGTCAGGACCAGACTCCATCCACGGCTCACCTCTTAGCCCCAGAGCTGTTGACCAAATGCTACGAAATTCTAGGAGAACTTTCCCTGACAGCTGCCCCTTCCCCCCTGCCTTCCCTACATTAAAGCAGGATCTTCTAGGACATAACTCAGCACCATGCTCCTGGTATTATTACAACGTTTGACCTGTTTCGTTTTTGTTTTTTGTTTTGTTTTTTAAGCAAAATGTGGTCCCATCAGAAGAATACAAACAAATCAGCCACCACGTTTACTTCCTTTGGACACCAAGCTCCGCCCACAACGGGTGTGGGGTGGTCAGGAGGGCTGTTCATTCACTTCCAAGAGACCTGGATTAATTTCCCTGCCACATCCCCCCAGGGAAAGGCCTGCCCTGGAAGGGAGACCACCCGCTTAAAGCCTGGCCATTCGATCTGGTATCTGCTCATCTGTCTGTCTGTCTGTCTGTGAGATCAACAGCCTCCAGCCAGCTCAGCTCCTCGCCAGCCCCAGCCCCAGCCAGCTGTAATTCCTGCCTGTTACAAGTGTTAACACCTGGCCCGGGGGCCTTCCTCCCCCGCAGTCTCCAGGTGCCTCCCTGGGCCCAGCCCACTGACCCCCACGGGGTTTGACTGAACATGTTCACAAGCCTCTGAAAGGCGGGTGGAGGTGGGAGTGGGGAGGAGGGGAGGGCAGGCAGAGGGACACCTGACAGATGGGGAAACTGAGGCAGGGCTTAGGGCAAGCGCTTGAGTGGGGTAATGGATCTCAGGATGGTGGAAAGAGAATTCAAGTGTATTTCCCAGCTCACTGCCCTTGACTTCTGCAGGACACTTTCCACCCCAACCCCATCCGTGGGGCAGTGCAGGCTGGTGATCGCTGGGTGAAAGGGTGAGGGGAAACAGGCTCAGAGAGGTGGGTCACACAGAAGTGAGGTGCCCTCCCAACCCGTAGCACAGAACCCCTCAATCAGGGCCTCTGCCTCTGGAATGTAGTAGGCACTAGTCCGCGCCCTAATAAGATAGTTCATTTTCCCCCAAGAAGGAGAAGAAAGACAAGTTCCTCCACCAGGCAGGCATTCACTGCGACTGACAAGAAGAATTATAGAAACCAGTGCTTGCTGTCACCTCTTCCTGTCCCAGCTCTGCCACTATTTGGCTGCAGGGCCCTGGAACCCATCATCTTCCAGAGCCCTCTCTGTCTGAGGCCCTCATAGCTCTAACTTCTGGTCTACCATCTCTCGGGGCTGAGGCCTGCCATACAGGATGTGGGGACTCGGGGTGCCTTCTGCGAGGTAGCACAGGTAGGAAGCCCAGCTAAATGGTTTCCCCTGTAAATCCCTCCTGGGGAATGTGGGAGCTGGGCAGGGGCAGCCGTAATGAGCTGAGATGCTAAAAGGCCTGGAATCTGAAGCCTGGGGGCAGAGTGGGAACAGGAATCTGAGGCCCATCCACTCTACTGTCCCTGTCCCAGCCCGGGCCCTGGCCTTGGCCCCAACCCTGAGAAGGTGACTCACCCCCTATCCCAGCTCCAACACCAAAGACAGTCGGCCTAAGAGGGGAAGGCTGCTGACCACAGTCCTCAGGCAGACAGGATCAGCTTGTGGCCAGGGAGGCTCGGCCCCCCACAACCCACACTGCCCAGCCCAGATCCCAGATCAGCCATGCCCCTTGCAGCTTCCTTGTTAGACCTTTGTCTCCCGCTGAACTGTCCCACCAGGACCATGAATGCCCACCAAGCACCCAATCTCAGGATGTCACTCACACCCATAGGTCATATGTGTGCAAACATATCCATAGCCACAGGCCAGCCATGGTCCCTGGCACTCGAAGACAGGGTCATAGGCAGACCCAGACACAACCCTCACATTCATATTTCCAAGCACAATCAGGCCATGGCCGTGAGCACTGATATCCATGCACAAAGACATCTGTGGGACTTTCCCCTTACACTGTCATGAAGGCATGTGCACACATGCACACACACACGCACACAACACTCACATGCCCAGTCATGATCACAGTCATGCAGTGTCATAAGCAGATACAGGTGCTGACCTTCACATGGGCATAGATACTTCTAGACTTTCTCTCTCTCCCTCTGACACATACACACACCACACATATCACAGAATCAGCCACTTGCTGGCACTTGTATGCAGACACAGCAGCAAACCCTGTCACGGGCCGTGGATCCCCCAGGCATATCTCACACGAGTTCACATCCGTGATCACCCAGTTACAGGCACAGACACTCCTATTCACAGAAACACACTGGGTCATAGACCTAGAGCACACACACACACACACACACACACACACACACACACAGGTCTCTGCTCAGACAAAGCAGCATCCCTGTCCCCCCAACCCCCAAACAATCCATGTGTCCAGTATGGCTTTCCAGGTTTTCCCAACATCTTTCTACTGGGTGGTTCCTATCTAGATGCTACCCATACACCATTACTCACCAGACCCCAGCCCTCCCACAGGCACTGCCCAGGGAAGTGCCTCCTCCAGTTCCTAGAGCAGGAGAACCTGGTCTCTCCAGCTCATCCCTGCAGCCTGTGGGGCTCCACACCCTCTCCTCCTGCCCTCCCCCTGGCCAGGGTCCCTGTGAAGGCAAAGAACAGCATGGCCTTAGCAGGGGGACAGGAGGGGGTCGGGGTCGGGAAGGGCCTTAGAGACACCGGTGGTTTCCGCAGCGGCCTTCCCTGCAATGGGCACGGCCCCCAGCCTGGAATCTCCGGCCGCCCAGGCCACCCCCACAGGTTTCTTTATGTACAGGCGGCCTGGGGCCAGCCCAGTGCCAAGGGAAAGAGGGGCTGGGCAGAAGAAAGACTTCCCCTTGGGTGTCTGTCCTGGGAGCAACTCTCAGCACCTTCTAAACAGAGATCCTCGGCCATGCCTCCGTCCCAGCCCTCAAACACCAGAGATAAACACCGCCACCCCCAAGCACCTGGAGGCAGACTCGGGCTGTGGCCCCCAATCTCCTGGCTCTGCTCCCCCTATTCCTGGCTAGAAAAGGGGTGGCAAGACAGGGAAAGGGGGACACGCAGGTGGCACCACACCCTGGTGGCTCTCCTCTCTGACTTTCACCCCAGGGACCACAGCCCCTCTTCTTATTCCCAGATCCCAAATTCTCACCCCTCACCTCCCACCCCCAGGCCCAGGCTGTCCTATGTCCAGGAGGGGAAGATGCTTTAATTAAAGTTTTCCGGATGCAGGGGCTGGAGACTGAGGAGAGGCGGGTGTAATTTAGAGAACTGGTTTCTGTGTCTCTCCCCTCTGGCCTCCGGGACCTGCCGGGGGGCGATGAGGCCGCTTGGAAAACAAGGGGACTCCCTGGAATTGAGGCTCCCAGGGGCTGTTTGTTCCTCGGTTGGCTCCCCGATCCATGCACATCTCCCCCAAACACCGCGCCTGGTTTCCCAGCCTTCTTTACTAAAAATGTCTTTTGTATCCGCATTTCTCAGGGATGGGATTCTCCTCTCCCTCTCTCCCTTTCTCCTCGGTCCTCGGTTTTCCAAAACGAACGAATTTAACATGGAGAACTGGGGTTTTGGTCGGAGAACAAACCCACCCCCCTTCCGAACAACCACATGTTCAAGGAGCCCCCCTTTTGCCAGGATGGACACGCAAGAAATGAATAAAACGCGAATTCAATGGCATCTCGGATCAGCAAATACCACATTCACTTCTGAGGCTCAAGATTAATCTAGAGCAGAGTGGGGAGAGTCTGATGAAATGCCCCCGTCCCCCTGCCCCTGGGGTCCCTGAAGCCACTGGGGTCTGAAATAGGAAGGCAAAGAGGGGCTATTGTGGGGATATCTCTTGATGGAGGCGCCGGCAGAGGTGGGGGCGGCAAGGAAGGAACAGGAGGATTTTGCCCATGGAAGACCCCAAAATGGAGAAGAGGAGTGGCTGGGCCCCAGGGTCAGCGTTGGATTTCCACAAACCCAACTGCGAGCAAATGGAGGGTATTGGGGAGGGGGTCCCCAGATGGGGATGGGTGGAGGGTGAGGATCTAAGATCAGGAGACCTTCTGAGACCCGGCAAGTCCTCCACTCCAGCCTCTGCAGCGAGTAGCAGGGAAAATGGTGATTATCAGGGAAGCCAGGAGTTGGATTCTGAAGGCGACACCAGCAGAAAATCCAGGGGTGAGGGGTGGGGGGCTGCAAGGAGGCAAGGAGAAAGGAGCCCCAGCCCGGGCCGAGCCCACCCCCAGCCGGCGCCCCCCACCTCCCCGGGACTCGGCGAAGAAATCGGGCCGCGGGCAGACAAGAGGCGAGTCTTACCACCAAATTGGGTAGCCGGCGAGGACCCTGGTGCCACCGAGCAGGAGGCCGAGGAGCAGCCCGAGCAGGTGGGGCTCCATTAGAAGCGGCGCCGAGGAGGAAGTTTGCCCCCGACCATGAAGAGGGGGAGCGACGCCCCCAATAGTTGGAACAAAGTCCACTTGAGATTGGAAATGACTTTCGGGCTTGTCAGAAGCGCACCTCCACCCGCAGCCGCCCCCTCCGAGCCCAGCGCGGAGCAGCCGGGTTTGAGGATGTCAGCGAGCAGCCAATCAGCGCCCGCGGCCTAAGGTAAGAGATGAGTCTGTAGTTCAGCCTGTCAATCACGCGCCCCTCCCGCCCGGCCCACGAGTCGGGCTCGGGG